TCAGGACCTGTTCTCAGCAAAGCTTTCTCTTCCCTGAGACGCCGAATCACCAGGCAGGTGATGAACTCACAATCCAATAAAGTTTTCAGTGGTTTCCGATGATTTCCCATTGGGCATGTGCAGCACACCGTGGCTGGACCCCTGGATAACAATTCTAAGTGTGTGGCTTTCTCCAGGGCTCAGACTATGCCAAGATGGTGGCCCCAGCCACACACGAAGCATCTAAAACCCCTGTGGCCAGTGGCTGTGGTACTAAATGGCCTATGCAGAAAATGTCCACCAGTGAAATGATTTGCCTATGATGGATACTTCACAATTTTTAGATACGAACCTGGTATTTCAAGTTTCATTGTAAGAAACTCATAGGAAAAGAAAGCAAGTAAATGTCTACCACATGGACGTGAGATATAGGATTTTAAATTGATAAAACCTAGGCTCTAATCCCATAGAACTGAAGGAGAAAGGCTGTCAAGACCCAATACAGCTTATCCAACCAAGAAAACTTGAATAAACTGAATAAAGCAAAGAAGGGTGCTGAAATGTGAGAAGCAAGGTACTGCAGTAGAGGAGGGGTTTAAGATCAGATGGGCAGCCAGGGATTTAGCTCATTGGCTCCAGTGCCTGCCTCATACCTGCAAGGTCCCCAGTTCGATTCCCAGTACCAGAAAAACGATCAAATGGGCAGTTTTATGATGCTATCCACAACCTGAGATGTTCTTCACGTATGCTACATACAAGGGTGACATCGCTGTCTTTATCTCTGAGGCAGAAATATCAATGGACATCACCACAGTATTTACCAGGCAATATTAAAAACCTTACCCATCTAAAAGCATGCATTGTTTTCATTTTCATGGACCACATACCTAGCAGTCTGTTTACTCAGATGTAAATACTGAAACACAGTTTGGAAATTAAGAACTAGTTATAAGTTAGAAATATTTTGAACAACTTCGTGCTCTGCTCAAGTTCTGGAAATGTATAAAATGGCGCAAGGTACGACAAAGCAAATGTAACAGGAGAGAAAATAAATGCTTAGAAAAATCAAGTGTGTGACAGCCTGGGAGAAGAGTAAAGGGGAAAAATGAACAGTCTCTCTGGAAAGCCAGTCAATTAACAGCTCCTACCAAAACATAAAAGTCCAACACAGCGGGCCAAACTTTTAAATCAGAGAACATAGACTGAATTCATTTTCTTTTTAAAAATACCTTGGTTTACTGCAGCATTTCATGCCCCAAATTAAACTTTTAGAGCAGTGTGATGGCATCTCCATGCTTTTCTGTGATACTGACCAGAAAGCATACAGATGTAAAACTGCAGCATTGCCAGTATTATCACTAGTCTTTACAGTAATTTTTATAGTCCCGTTGCTCAAAATGCGTTCGACAGAAAACCACCTACAAACAGCCTGTGATTACATGTGCCTCGGTGACCCCCGCAGCACAGGGAAAAGGGAGCACAGATGTTTCAAAGTCCTCAGGGGAAAGGAGAGATGTGTTAAACTCCGTACCCGGGTTTAAGCTATGTTTCTCTGCCGCAGGAGGAAAGGTCAGAGCCCCCCTGCTCCTGGTGCCAGCTTGGTGCTGTGCACCCCTTCTCATCACCTGGCTTTCCTGTCCCGCTCCCTCATCACTACATCTCTGGCCCCCTTTCCACTTCTGCTCTTCTCTGTCCACTTCTACCTAGAGCGTGAATGACTGCCTGTGGGTGTCAGGCTGGTCCCTCTGCAGGAAGGAACAGCAGTGAGGAGGTCACCGCTATCATCTACCATGACAGTGCCCTGGGGTGTGAGGGGTGCAACAAAGATGAAATTGTCAAGTTTTTAAATTACAGTAAGGGACACCTTGCCATGAATCCTCCTAAAATATTCCCCTTTGCTCCCAACACATGTATCCCCTTGGTTTTGCCACTCTCTCAAGCAGCTCAGGGGTCCTCTTTCCTGACTGTCTTTTAGAGGTGTGATCAGAAATACAGTCCAGGGGAGAGGCAGCTCGTAAAAACGCTGTGCTGCGTCCTCATCCACTTATTCACCAGCTTGGTCCCTGTGCGACTGGCTCTTCTCCTAAGTCAAAATGACCAGAAAAGAGCAATGCTTTGAATAGATTTAGGACGCTGAGGCAGCCAGGATGTGACAACTACACACTCAGGAAAGAGGACCTCAGAGCTGCTGCTGAAAGCGGTTGGGACGAGGGCAAGTGTGTGTTCACACGGGGGAGGGGTGACGGGCAAATGGCGACGTGTCCTTTACTGTAATAAACACACGGCTTATTTCCTCTGGTGCTGTGAACATGCTGAGCCTTTATGGGAGGCACTTGAGCAGACAGCTCTCTCACCAAAGCTTTTGAGGACCAGGCCTGAGACCCGGAGGCTTCAGCAGGTGGAAAAGAGCGGATGGGCCCAGCAGCACCTGCGGTCCTGGCCCCCCAACCCCGCTGCAGGACCCAGGTTGGGGCCTGGGAGTCGCCATGGGGCGTGTGGCCACCACCTGTCCCAGGGCTCAGCTGCAGAGGCCTCGGGAGGCAACTGGAGACCCCTGAATGGGGTTGGGGGGCTCCCTACCAGCACAGGTACCATCCCGCCTGGGCACAGGGGTGGCATCCCATTAAATTAGAAGCAGAATTTAATAAATGATGGCAAAAACGTGGAGAAAGGAGAAATCCAATATACCATTGGCAGAAAAGTAATAGAACCACATGGAAACACTAGGAAAGTCCCTCAATACCCTAGAGACAAAACGACCGTGCTCCAGCAACCCCGCTCCTACGTCGTCTTCCCAAGGAGCTAAATTCGGATGTCCAGTCGCCGTCTGCCCAGGCTCCTGCCCAGGTATCTGGCTGGGGCCAAGGTATGGACACAAGCTAGGTTTGCATCACGGATGACTACAGAAAACGTGGTTCGCACGCACAATGTAAAGTCACTCAGACGTAGAACGAAAGTCTGCAATTCGCAGTAATGTGTTCACATGAGGTATGTCAGGCACCGAAAGACACGCAGCACGTGTGTGGGAGCTGAAGAGCTGACCTCAGAGTGTGGACAGCGGAGTAGTAGTCAGCTGGGGCCTGGAGGGTGGTGTAGAACACCCTCTAAGGTCCTCACGGAGCACAGTGACGGCGGTGACAAGGACTCATTGAAAATCTCAAGAGCTCCAAGAGAGGAGTGTGAACGTTCCTACAGAGCGCTGTGAAGTTGCAGACACACCAGCTCCAGCCCCGTCACCGCACATCCTGAACTGTCAGCGAAGCCCGGCACCGTGCGGTTACTACGTGTCAATTAAAACTGCAAATGCATTTGAAATGCTGCCAGCTCTAGAGCCTCATTACCAGCCCATCCTCTTGATAACGTCTCAGAAAACTGCCGCCCTCCCTAGCTGTTCCAAGGCTGCAGCTCCCTCCCGCCCTCTGCCCACTCCTCCATCGCCCAACTTCCTCCCGGTTCTTCCTCTAACCTAGACGCAGGGCAACCACGCGCACCGAAAGGAAATGTTTGGCGAGAAAATGGGGTAAGGGATTACGTCATAGACCCCTGAGAGTTAACAGAATCACTTGTCCAAACAGAAATTCGGTGGCTCCCTGAGTTCTCCCTTTTGCTTGTACTTACATCCAGTTCGATACAACGTTTTGCAAATTTGACCTCAAATATTTCATGCAGTTCCCTTCTCGCCATCCCCCTGCCAAGTCTTTAATATGTAATCAGAAAATCCCCTGCCCGGCTACCACAGTAGCTTTCTTTTCTCTCTCATCTTACACTGAGCCAAGGTACCTCTGCTTTATTTGGCTCCCCGAGCGACCTTTCTGAGATGTGGATTAAATCAGTCTACCCTCCAGCGTCAACCTGCAGGACAACCCAAAGATTTGGGTAGCATCCAGGACATTTGTGGCTTTGTTTCTGCTTTCAGGAATAAGCCTTTATTCTCTCAGAAGTGTGCACAGACGTCTACACTAGCTACTTTCCTGTTTCCTGTACCAGTGAACCCTGACTTTCAGCCTGAATGGGTCAAGAGAGTCCTGGGAGGGGTCTGGATAGAGGGCATCCAGCTCACAGCTTCCACAGCTGCACGTGGGCTCTGAGGAGCGAGCCTATCGGAGGAAGTGGGTCACGGGCATGACCTTGGAGACTGTATCTGCTCCCTGTCTCCTTGCTGTCTGGTGCCGTTTCCCCACTCAGCTTCCTGGCCGCCATGAACAGAGCAGCTTTGCTTCACCGTGATGTTCCTGTCTTGGAACCAGCTGACCATGGACTGAACTTCCTGAAACCATGAGCCGAATTATACCTCTCCTCTCTCGAGGTGCAGGTATCAGGCATTTTTGTTCCTGACTGATACACAGCTAGCTTTTATTTTCGTCTCCTTTCATAAAGCATTTCTTACAAAGAGAAGTCACATTAATGATCTTCAGTGAATAAAGGGCTTTTAAATAAAGCTCTTGCTTGTAGCTATTGTTATCACTGAAACAATGGAGACTTCATAGTCTCGCCTTTTTCATAAGCAATTTCTGAAAAGTCCCCTGTCTAGCTGGGATACATATAACACTAATGACCAAAAAAACTGTACTCTCTGCATAGAGGCCAGACCCAACAAAATGTGGCCCAGTGTGACACACTGGGACATGTGGATGCTTACAGTGCAGTGTGCCTACGGCTTTCTAGAAACCCGATGAAAAACAGTAGGTGAATGGAGAAGCTGTTGGGGCCGCACAATTTTAATGTAATCACCAAAGTCTACTTAAAGAGGCAAAATTATCCCTCTGAGAATAAGGGCAGGAGCTAGAACAGCTGTGAGCCCAAAAACTCATCGTCTTAAAGCTAAAAAGTGCAAATTGTGCTCTTGTAGATGGTATGGTTTTCATATTTGAGAAACCAGAGAGGCTTCAGGAATCAGGAAGAATTATAAAAGTAAAGGGAGGAGGTAAAGGGAAGTTGTTTCAGAAATATTTTTAGACAGAGGTCAGTCATCAATACTGAATAAATTAGTAAAATTACTGCCAGTTATTATTCCAACTTACCTGATGACTGTAAGCATCAGGGGCAAGTTTCTTGTATATTGGTGCGAGAAAAGTGGACAGGTTTTGCAAGTGAGACTCCAATTTCTCTTCCTGTATGAAATGAAGAATTCAACACATTACATTCTATATCCATTCTCTCGGTATTAAAGAGGCTGTTATTCCCTCAAATGCAGGATGTAAAACACCTTCCTTTCTTCAGATGAGTGAAAAAATAATTGAAATTCCTGTCCAAGCTTCCACAAACCATACTTAGTTTTCTACTCAGAACAGATCCTGGGGAATACTTGCAGTACAATCTGTCCCTATGAGAAACAGCCCTGTTTTGAAGATGATGTAGTTATCTGCTATCACCTACTTGTGTATTATTGAGTATCTGTCCGTAAGATGTCTGCATGGAGCTGGCTACGGACCTCTGCTGGGGTGAGGGGTGAGTGAGGCTCAGGGTCTTCCAGGGGTCACGTTCTCCACCTCACTGTCCTGTCACCAGCCAAGGAAGAGGGACATTCAGAGGGGTTGGGGGCTTCATTTATCTATTTCCAATCTTTGTATCTTACAACATTTACAGGGATAGCATTTCCAAGTTTGTCGTGATGTTTGAGGAACAACTAAAGATCACTGGACACTTCAGATGTGGACACCGTTCTCAGGACTTGATTTAAGAACGACTCCGAGCTGGGTGTGGTGGTGCACGCCTGTAATCCCAGCACTCGGGAGGCTGAGGCAGGAGGATTGCTGTGAGTTCAGGCCAGCTGGGGCTGCATAGTGAGTTCCAGGTTAGTCTCAACTACATAGTGAGACCCTGTCTCAAAAAATAACAACACCACCAAAAAAACAACTCTGCGAAGTCCACTTGCAAGAGGAAATGCTGCCCAACCCCTACTGCCCCTGCTTACAGAGAATGGAGGTCTACACACCACGCTCTGGAAAATGGGAGGTGATAATTCAGTGGTTTCCCTGCTACTTGGAAGTTCTCATTTCAAATGCGTGCTTGGTTTCCACGTTGCTCTGTACCCTCTAGTTGCACACTTGTGCGGGCAGGAAGGAAGTGCTGAAATCATGGAAGAAACACTATGGGGTCTCAGTTTCTCTGTGAGTCCTGGGACAGGTGGGTGGGTGCCAATGGCATCTGATGGGACGCATGGAACCAGGTTTGTCCTGAAGAAGCCTTGGACAGAGTTTGCGCCCTGCTGGTCACCAGAGATGGCCAGGCTCCCTCTCCAAAGGGCTCTTTGGAGCACCCGGAGCAGGTCATCTTCATAGGTTAAACGAACTGTAACAGTGACGTTTTTTTAAATGTTGGGAGGAACCTAGACTTCGAAGGAGGTAAGGTGTCTGTGTGCAGCCCTCTGCCTAAGAGGGCGGTGGCTCCTGACTGGGCTCTCTTGGGTTAATATGAACAATGCTTACAGTGGGAAACATCTGTCAGTGGTGCAAAGCTTTCAGTGTGGAAATCGTGTCTGTTAAATACGTTCTTATTTTATGAAAAGAAGTCCAGCACACATAAATATTTCTATTGGAAAAACTATATCCTTTGAAAAAAGTCTGTATCACAATTTCAAGAGCTTCTGTACATTACTGCACCTTCATGTACTATTATAACCACAAATAACGAAGTGACGACGTTTCCCTTTTAGAGAAACACAACATTACGATATCTATAGCGTAAGGTATATGGAGATGGAAAACTGGGCCAGATCTAAATGCTACACACACGTTGCTATCCTCCCTTCCTCTCCGGGCGATACGAGTTCCAGAGTCTGCGCACGCTGATAAGGAAGTGCTTTAGCTCTACGCTACATCCCCCCTTCTCTTTGGAGCCACAGTCTCACTAAGTTGTTCAGATTGGCCTCGGAGTGAGATCCGCCTGCCGTACCCCACGTAGCTGGGCTAACAAGTGTGCGCAGAGGTTCCCAACAAAACAGTGAGGTTTTCTGACCATACAGTTGTATTCTAGACCACGTTCTAGCCTAAATTATGTTAAACTTGATATCAAGTTAAGTAAGAGTCTGGAGAAAGGAAAAATGCCAGTGACTTCTCTGAGAAATCATCCTTCATTTCAATCGCACATTTACATTAAAATTTCCATTTGAGTGAATTCATTATGGTATAGCTTGGAAATAACACCAGAAATGGCCTTTTGTGAATGTGGCAGCCATGAACACGGTTATAGAATCGACAGATAACAGGAATCACCAGTCCTTACTCAGTTTAAACACTGAAGACATAGCCGTGTAAAACTCTGGATTAACATAACCAAGAAATACAGAATGTTGCTCAAACTGTCACATTTTACCTATTACTTTTGTATAACGTAGCTACATTCCCAACATCTTAATGTGTTCAGTTTACTCAAAATTGTTTTCATCTGAGATGAAAATTCGCTGTTAATGAGACCCCGGTAGAACGGTCCCGTTGTTCACTTCACCCACACCGACAGCAGTCTAGGAAAACTAGGCTGTGTATCAGGAAATAAACCAACCTCTTTTGGGTCATCTCCAGCCAGCTTAAACTTCCTTGGGACCTTGCTTCTGGCAAACTTACAGCCATTGTAGTACATGCTCCACGAACAGCCGAAAGAGAAGGAGGCGCCACAGGTCTCCGGGTCCAGCCCCTGACAAGCACACGTTCTCCTGCAAAATCAAAGCGCCCGGTTCAAGACCAGGGAAAGCATTCTCTAGCACACCACACCACACTTCCATTCCGAAGGGAGGCACACAGAATAAATTCAGACGGAAGGCTTCTACAGCTCAGAAAAGAGCCGAGAGACAGAAACCACACCCAGGGCAAACCTATTTCAATCAGTTTTTAAAACACAACTTAAAAACCCGTTGCAGAAACCACAAATCTCCTTTGGGCTGGGTTTGTAGCTCAGTCAGCAGTAGAGAGCTTGCCTAATTTGTGCAAGGTCCTGGGTTCAATTCCCAGTACTACAAAACAATCGACCATCTCACTACAGTGTAATAAACAGAAAACTCTACATAAATCATATACCTTGAAAATGTCAATAAAAAAAAATGTTGCAGGTACTCAGAAGGCTGAGGCAGGAGAATCCCAAGTTTGAGGTGAGACTGTACAATTTAGCGAGACCTTGTGTCAAAATAAAAAAGGGCTCAAATTGTAGCTCTGTGATGGAGCTCTTGCCAGCATGACTGGGCCTGGGGTCTAATCCTCAGTGCTCTCCCTGGAAAAGACGCAACTCACAATGGAGCACACGCAGGCACAACGCGCCAGGCCAACACGGAACACTCAGCACATGACACAATCTCTCTTACTGTCTGCTGGGCCCTGTGTCCCCAACAGAAATTTTTCTCAGGATAGATTTGTTGTGTTTATCGTTCTGTTTGATCTGTACACATGAATGTGAAATTCTCAGAGTTCAGCTTGTGTCTGGCTTCTTTCTACCTATTCTGGGGCTATCCCTCTAAACTGCGGCATGCAGTTGTCATTAATTTGCATCCAGTACCACACTACCAAACATTTGAGTGCTGTCTCCTTTTTGGGTTAAGGCAGAGTATTATTACGATACAGCCCCAGTCCGATACTTGACCTACCTATCCCTCCTTCTGGGTTTCTTCCTGAAGGGGTTGGGGTTGAAAACATCGTACTGTAGCGACCCCCGACCCGTTTAGAGCAGCACAGTTCATAACAGCTGAAGCAACCTACGTGCACCGGCAGGTGACTGGATTAAGAAAACACTACTCTGCCAGAAAGCAGGGTAAACTGGAGTCGTGGGTGGGAACATGGGTGCCCCGAGACCATAAGGCTAAGTGACGTAAATCTGACGCACAAGCTCAAACGTTGCATGGTTTCTCTTACATGAGAGATCCATGTTATCAATAAAGAGCAAAATAAAACCCAGATAATAGAAAGTAGGGAGATAAATCTTCCTCAGATGGGAAGGGATGGGGGGATGGGAGAAGGAAGACGTCTTCTGTACACGCACCGACTCCACACCAGGGAGGAAACGTTAGGTGCTGCACACAAGTGCTAATAAGAATAAACGTATATGCGAAGAAATAAAGAATGGAATAGCCAGGGAAAATTACATGTAAGTCTACAAGTACTATTTTGAAATTATATAGGCGGGGATTTAGCTCAGTAGTGGTTCCGCCACCTGCCTCACAAGAGCAAGGTCCTGAGATGCATCCCCGGTACCAAAAAAAAGAAAAGATATTACATATAAAGTCAAAGGTCAAGAATTTCAGTGTAAGATGTAATGAAAGAAAGATATTATTGATAAAGTCAAAATTCAAGAATTTTTGTGTAAAATTAATAAAAACCTGTAATCTTAACTATGGAAAAATTATGAACTCATGATTCAAATTGAATTTTCAAGCTGGTCATACATGCTTGTAATTCCAGCACTCAGAGGGTGGGGCCAGCCTGATCTATATGCTTTATACCGTCTCTGAAAACCAACAAATGAAACAAAAGCCAAAAAAGTTCAAATTTTATTTCTTAAAAATAATTTCTCTCCTATGTCTGTTCTTGACAAAGCCCCAAATTAATAGGTTCTCCGAAAAAAGCATATCTACACAGGGTGACATTTCCAAATATGATTTTTCACCAAAATGAACAGATATCAAAATCTCTGAAATTTTATAACTAAAGATCCTAAGCATGCACTCATTTATCCTGTCATTTGCCTCTAGATGATTCAATGATAGCCAATCAGCTCATAAGGGAAAGTTTAAAAAAAATTTTTCAGCTAGTAAATGCATCAGGAATGTTATAGCAAAAATGGGAGAAGAAGAATCTTTGAAATTTTCTCCTCCATAAAAGCAATGAGATTACTGGCAAAAATGATCCGAATCAACTTCTCAGAAATCTGGACAAAAGGCTTGCAGCAATATTCAGTGTTTGTTCAAGAAAAAATCAAAAGGGTGGGAGGTGCAGCTCAGTGGTACAGTGCCTGCCTCATGCATGAGCCCTAGCTCTGATTCCCGGCACCATAAGCAAACCTAGCGTTTCAGTAAGAAGTATCAGCTTGGTGATGTTTTAACGCATCCTACCTTCATCCTCCCCACAGCTCCATGGCAGCCTTGAAAACAAACAACCACATTCATGATGAAAATCAAGCAGCCTGGCAGACACCGGAGGGCACTAAATGGGTTGGACGGCCTCCAGAGCACCATTCCCGGGGCACTGACATCATGGGACCTCTTTAGGGTTCCCTGGAAGACCTCACTGGTTAGGTTACCTTCACTCGTCCTGACTTTGGAGCACACCGAATGTGAACAGGTGCTTTCCACGTGAAGGCATTGTTAAAAATAACCGCAGGCCATTGTTGAATATTCCCACTGCCCCAGACGGTGAATAACAGCTGGAGCAAAAAATAGGATAACCAGAAAACCCAAGGGCTAGGAATGTACCTCAGTGGTAGGGTGCTTGGCTAGCGAGGACAAAACCCTGGGTTGGATCCCCAGGACACCCCTTCCCGAAAGGAAAGCCTGAAAAATAAGCCCACAGGTGGCTTAAAAAAGCTTCAGTATATTTATTCCTGGGAATCTGCAGGCATGCATTGAACTAGGCACGCTCATCGGAGTCCTAAGAAAATCCTCAACTCTCACCACACTCCAGTCTCGAGGTCTTCAGAGGCAGGAAGTGAAGGCTAATGTGGAGTTATAAAGAAGGCTGCGTGTCGAAAGGCTGTCTCCAGACACCTACAGTCTCTGTGGCAAAGGCTGACTTACTGAGTTTAGCCACTTAATAAAAACTAATCAGCTGATCACTATGCTATACATTACAAAAAATCCAAGCTTTACAGGGTAGTTCCAAAAGTCGTAAGGCAAGTTAACAACAATAACCAGAGACCAGAACAAATCCAGGAGCGAGGGAATGGGAATGTGATTTCAATGTTATCACGTTATGATGTCTAAAATGTCCAGTTTTCAACAACCTATTTATTAAGACACCCACAAAAGACAGTATGGTCCGTACAGGCAAAAAGGAAGGTGATCAAGAGAAACTATCTTTGAAGTCTATACCTAACTTCTAGTCAAAGACTCTAAATCAGCTATGTCAACTTTGGCCAGAGAATGAGGGAAGACTGTGATTACATAACTAATAAAGGAAGAAAGCCAGTATATTAGCAAGAGATTTTAAAAATCCACAGAGATAGATAATGTAATAAATTGAATCTGGAGCTGGGACGTGCAATAACTAGAAAAATTTATTAGAGCTGTTAAACATGAATTTAGTTAGGGAGAGAATGGGGTAGGACTTAGAAATTGGCAGTGGAAATCATCTTTCTTTTGTTTTTCAGACTGAATAAACAGAGCTTTGGGGAGCTGTGGGACACTCTTAATAACAAATTAACATGAGTGACAGGAGGTCCCACAGAGTAGGAAGAACAGTAAGGAACAGAAAGAGAAACCAACCAGAAAGTGTCAGTGTTTTATGAACATTAATCTGTCGGTCCAAGAAGCTCAACGATCTCCACGAAGCATAAAGTCAAAGACAACCATAGCTGGAAACATCACACCTAAACTGCTTAAGGCCAAGGACGAGGAAAATCTGAAAGGCATTCTCAGCAGGATCAACAGCCGATGTCCCGTATGAAATAATGGCGTGTAAACAACAGTGGGATTCCATATTAAAGTGCTGAAACTTTACACAGGAGTAAGGGGGCTACAGAAAAGAATTATGGGTTATATATTTCAAAAAGGTGGGAAGTGAACTTCACTGTTTCACCCTAAGGAAATGATGTCTGTTTAAGCTGCTTCATGGCATGATGCCGACATGTGTGAAAACACTGTGTGACATCAATTTATGTATCATTTAAAAATACAGTAAAGTGCTGTAAGAATTTTATATCTAGAACTATCCCTCAATTAAGAAATAATAAATTGGGCACACTTAATAATCAGTCTGATTGTTTATTATTGTCAGGCCTGACCCACGAGACAACTAAACAAGTCCTTCAAGCTGGGGGGAAAAATGCTAGAAAGATAAAATGCTAGACTCGGATGCAGGCCCCACAGCTCTGAACACAGGCATGAATCTACCTCATGAATCTACCTATGACTATAAAGAGTAACAATAAAGGTAACTGCATAGTATATATAAAAGTATGAATTTTTGTCTTTATTTTTCCTGATTTAAAGGATGCCTGGATAAAGCAGTATTTACACATCCATTAGTGTATATACAATATATAAAATTAACAGAAAAAGGAGAAAACAGAGCTCTATAGAAATGTCTCCACATAGTACTGTGACTAAATTATTACTACTCCAATTTAAGTACTTAATTATAAGGATGTCAATTTTTTTTTTTTTTTTTTTTAACCAGGGATCA